GCATAATTCGCAAAGTGACGAAACTGTTTGGATTTTTTTACGGACAAAAAGAAACATCCCAATTAATAATCTAACCTTCGTTAATTTTTCTGATTTTTAAAATAAAATGTATTGCTAGGCTCTCAACGGCTCATGTGAGCCTTTGGGGACCAAAACTGGAAGTTTTGTTCGCAGACTAATCGCACCGTACTAGGGCGCCGGCGGACACGCCTGATTAAATTTAGTGAGCGATTGTAACTCCCCATCTTATCCATTGTCTATCACACTTTTTATACCGAACATAGTCACCATAGCGCTCACGGAAAACACCAGGGGGCCAAATCGCATCCTGTTAGAGGCCGCCCATGCAAAATCAAAAATCCCCTCACCCCCACAGAAAACTTCTCGGGAGTATTCATCAACTCCCTAAAGTTTAATGTCACTCGGATAAACGGTGTCGAACCGCAATAGACTTTTATTTTTATATACCGTATAAAGTGAATAATCGCACCCTCCCGTAGCGCCGCCCTTGCGAAATTACAAAAGATTTTTTACAGAAACCTCACCTGGTGTGTTTTAATCAACTCCCCAAAGTTTGATGGCGATTGGATGAATGGTATCAAGCAGCAATTGACTTTAATTTTTATATACCGTAAAAAGAGAAAAAAACAAATCGCGCCTTGCCGGGGCGCCACCCCTGCGAATTTGAAAACAAATTTATGGAGAAACCTCTCCAGAAATACTGTCAATAACTTCCCAAAGTTTCCCAAATTGCTTTTTTTTTAAGTATGCGATAGTTTAAAAAAAACTTTTTTTTCTATAAAATTCATTTCAATTCCATCGTGACTAAGTTTTATTAATACATGAAAAACAAATACTGAAAATATGGTTGAAACTGTGTTACTACTAAAATAAAAGAAGTAGACCTTTTAGTTTTAAGACACTAAGAAAAGAGAAAAACAGCAAAACGTTTTTAAAATTGCAGGTTACAAAAATATCATTTCTGTGTCATTTCTAAAGTCAATTGAAAGCTTGGGTTTTTCCGAGGTGACGGATAATACGATACACAATAACCGGAGAAATTCAGCTGCTTTACGATGATGTCAAATACAATATAATGACGATATTGAGTGCGTGTAAGATTGTGGAAAATTTACTATTATTTAATTAAGTTAAAGGGGTAAAAAAATTGTAATTTAAACACATTACAAAAATTCTTACTAAAATTATTGCTTTCTTAATACAAAAATTGTCAACGTATCCAATGGTACAAGAGACTCTTTTTGACAGAAAATCAGGATTTTAGTGATTTTTATCTGCACATATCCCAGACAGACTAAGCCTACATCTAATCATAAACCTAACATGAAACTAACTAAAACATTAAATTTATTCTTTACTCTAAAACTTGTTTAAATGAAATCATAAACCTGCGCATAAAACACTATAATACATTATAAGACATATTTTTATATCGCTCAACATTGACCATTTCTGAAACATTCAAATGCATTGTGTTCAAAACAGTCCCAATATGCTGCCTCATAAATCCAATATCTTTCTTTTTAGACACAAACTCGTGTCCACTCCCTCTTTGTCATGCATTTATGACCACCATGACGAGAGGAGGAGGATCACAAGAAACTCGAAATGTGTGGTCACTTTGTGGTCATTTGTTGCGGGTAAAGTTGGCTTTATGTTAACTTCCACACATCAAATATAACATGCGCACACAATTACAAAAAACAAAAAACAAAAAACATCTACCTATATTTATTTTACTTCAACAAAACATCATATTAAATACCCAAACTGATTCATTAATATTCTCGAATTAAATGATCTGACAACCGTATTATATACAAAATTTATAATATTGCAGGAAATTAGGTATTTTTAATTTTTAGAACTATTTTTTTAAATTTTTTTTTTTTTTGTTTAACAAAAATGTATCAAAGTTCTCTTGAACTAACATGCCGATTAGTAAATAACACTTTAATTGAAAGAATGAAAAACATTTTTTTTTTAGATCTCGTGTTGAAAAATCTGTCAACAATATCTGATTATAAAAAAGACTTTATTGTTGGTACCTATAACAAATAACAAATAAATGTGTCATTAAAAATATAGTCGAAGCATAACATATAAATAATGCAGTAGAACGCATTTAACTTTTAAATAGCCCGTTTGAATTACATAATGTACAATATTGTTCACTAATAAACATTGCGTTAGTCAGTGATCAGCCATCAAGCAAATAATTATAAGTCATTAATAAATTTTCACAGCAATTTTAAAAACAGTTAAATTTAAATATCAAACGAATTTTTTTTATCCAAACAATTTTTGTGTCAATTCAAAGAACGGGGAAAAGTAAAAGATTTAATTAATGATGCATTTACTTCCCTTAAATACCTAAAACAGAACAGTCAAACAGGTTAATTTTCAATATCTTAGTATTACATTTGTGAGAATCTGGGATTTTTCCCGGTTCTATCACCTTTCCAAATAACAAGTTTGTGCCGCTGTAAGTCTAAGTCATTATTTGGTCGATTCAAACAATATTAGTAAGATAGTTATAGTTTTCACTTTACACTAAGAGTGTACCGCACACTTTGTCAACAGAAATTTCTCGGCAACTTATCTGCTAATAACCAATCTGTTTTGGGTGTGACTAATAGACAGACATCCCTATTTCACTTTATAAATATAGATAACGAGCAATTTTAATTGAACCCATATTCTACTAGCGTCCCACTTATGGGACGCTTGTAAAAAAAATTGCTAAAATTTATTAAAAACTAGTTAAAACACAAATTATGTTTAATTGTATTTGAAAATGGCTAGACTATTGAATTTGTGTGTGTTTTGTGAATAAAATTAATTTAGGAAAATGTTATAGTGCCGGATTTGCAGGACTTGTCAAAATGGCGGAAAAAAGAAAACATGCGCACATGAAAATGCATATCTTCTAAAATATTAACATTTTAAGTGCAAAATACATTTGAAACTTGTAGCAGTACCATATTGCTATCTGATAAAAATTTAAGAATAACAATTTTCTTTTACTACTTCGTTATATCAAGTGTACAACAAGCGTCCCATTAGTGGGACGCTAGCAACGAATGGCCCCATGTAGATTGTTACACAAACGTCACATTTATTGGACACTAACGAGAAACACAGATGCAAATGTTTATGTTAAATGGTTATTTAAGGTGTAACAGTTGTTGACTTTGTTAACTACTGACTTTGGGGTGTTAAGTAGTATTTATAGATATTTATTTATGACCTTGACCTATATTTATGCAGATTGTTGCAACTGTTGACTTTGGTGTGTTAAGTAGTATTTATAGATATTTAATTATAACCTTGAGCTATATTTTCTTATATATTATTGTATTAAAAAATTGCAATTATTGAAAAACTTACATTTTATTTTTAAGTTGTCAGAATTACACTTACTGAAATATTTAATACCATTGAATACAAACTAATTTAGTATTGCTGTAAATTTACTAGCGCGTGATATTAAAATTATAACAAACCAGAATAATAACAATGGCCACGATTTAGGTGAAATGATTCAATCATGGGGGTTGGTTAACTCTCTTCATATAAGAGAGCTTAAGCTACATATAGCAGAAATGCGAATTAGCTGTGTACAGTTGTCATGCCCCAATAATATTCCCCTCCAAAGGTTCCCGATACCAGTTTTACTGTGTTAACTTTTTAAGGAGATTCCTGGTGTTAGATTAAGAGCTGTTCGCATAGTGAATTGCATACATGGATGAGAGCCATGAACACTCAATACAGGCCCCCAGAGACGGATCCAGGCCCTAGATATAAGAGGTCTGATGTCCTAATGTATGCCTGTGGGGGGGGGGGGGAATAGCGAGGGTAACAAAAGAGAAGACGACTGGATGACATCTGGGACTGGACCGGATCGTCTTTTGCAAATTCACTGAGGGCAGAGGGCAGAGTTTCTTCCAGGCATCATAACGGAGGAAGGGGTGGGGGCTCTGCCCCCAGAACAAAATGGAATTTATATACAAAACATACTTTTACCAATGTCCACCCTTCCCCTGAAATTTAAGTCCCCACCCCTGAAAATTTCAAGTACGCCCCCCAAAATATCAATTATTTATATTTAATTATATTACAGTTTCGATGAATAATAAGAATATTTGTGATCATGTGTGTATAATTAGATGTACTAGTCACAGCTTTACTTATGTCCAAGTGTTGTTCGCTTTGAAAACTAGACATTTGAACATAATTTCTGCATTTTAGAGCATGGTATGGCTAACCCAATTGATCATTATCAGTATTTTTAGCTGTCCTAAACAATGTAATCATTGGTCTAACAATAAAAAATCAGTATACAGCTTAATTTTCGCGTGATTAGCCATATTTTGTGATACATGATTTTATTTTTCAATAAATGTACATGGGGCCGTTCGTTGCTAGCGTCCCATTTATGGGACGTTTTTTAAAAAATCGATATTTAAAAAAGTATTGATTTTTAAAAAAATTCCATAGTCATTCCTTCATTCAGTGCCCAAAAGCTAAACCATATCAAAAAAATTATAAAAATTTGAGACCTTGGGATAATATGGGTTAATTAAAGAGCAGATTAGTTTTCTTATACAAAAAAACGTGTTTTTCGAAACACATAGTTCCCCTATTCAGGTGGCAGTTTATATAAAATAATAAAATAGAATAAAACAATGTATGTCAGAAAAAATGAAAAAAAAATAATAATATCAAATCCTAACCTTTGTGATCGCAAAATTAAATTGATGTTTCTTACTTTTCTTATTCTATTCTACTGTTTAATCTAGATTACTAAATATTAATATTTTTCTACTACTTAGGTTTTTCTTTTAAATGTCCTTTACAAATACATTTACAGTTGTTACACTTGTTTCCTTTGACAATAAACCTTATTATGATGTCCATGCAGCTAATTGTAACTTTAATTAAGAAAGTACATTCATTAATTTAACGTTCTTTTTCAGTTTAAAATGTACAGTCTAAAGCCGTTGGATCTAATTTTACTTGGCAAAACAGGAAATGGGAAAAGCGCCTCAGGAAATTCAATCTTAAGGAAAGAAAAGGTTTTTAAAAGCAATTATAGATCATCCTCTGTGACAAAAAAGCCGCAGTACGAATGGAGTAGATTTGAAAATTATAGGATACAAGTAGTCGACGCACCAGGAGTAATTGATACACATTCAAAGAAAGATGAAGACATTAAACTCATCACAGGAGCCATGGAGAAAGCTATAATAGCTAATCCTGACGGTTACCACGCGTTTTTAGTTGTTGTAAAATTCGGTACAAGATTTACTAAAGACGAACAAAAAGCGATTCAGATACTGAAAGGAATACTGGGAGAGGATTTTCTTAGAAACTATGGCATCATCATCATGACCAATGGGGACGATTTTAAACGAGAACAAGATAAAAACAATTTGACATTAGCTAATTTTTGCGAAGAAGAGGAAGGTCCTTTCAAAGAACTTTTGAATGAGTGCAGCAACAGAATTGTTGTGTTTGACAATGTTACGAAAAATGTAGATGAAAAGTACGAGCAAGTAAAGAATCTGGTCGAAATGGTGGATTGTCTCCCAAGTAGGGGCACAAGATACACGAATGGACTTTTCGAAAAAGCTTCATTGCAACGTAAACACATGTATATAACCTCGAAATTACCCATGATTCAAAAAGAAATATTTGAAGCTCAAAGTCTAATTTTAGATGAAATAAAAAATAGCGATTTCGAGCAAAACGAAAGAAAAAAAGTAGATCTATTGTCCCAACTTTTTCCACGAATTGATGTTATCATCAATGACTTAACTAAAAAGGATCAGGGTACTGGGGCACTGAAAGAATTGTTGGATAACGTGAAGAAGACCAGAAATGACGTAACGAATAAAATAAAGCACGCTAAGCAAATAATCGAAGAAAATGAAAAAATGAAAGCTTTAGAGGAGAAGATTAAAAGGGAAAGTGAGGAAATGATTGAAAAGAAAACACAAAAACTCAAAAAAGAAAGAGATGCAGTACAAAAGCAAATGAAGGAAGAAATGCAGAAACTTGAATTTAAGCTGCGGCTGATGGCCATGGAAGCAGAAGAAAGAGAAAGAAATAAAGAACTTGAGAGAGAAATAATAGCAGCCGAACAAAAGCGAATGGATGAAGAAATAAAAGATCTTCAGCTAAAACTGCAGATGAAGACCAAGGACGAACAATGCTCAGTAATGTAAAGAAGGTTGAAATAAAATAAAACGCATAAAAACATTTTAATAGAGGCTTTTATGTAATTAAAAAAGGTTGTTTTTTTAAATATATAAATGAACTAATATTTAAATAACTATAAAGAAAATCTTGGGTTGCTATAACATTATGTATTGAATACTAGAGTTTAAGTAGTGACCCACCCTTTTCTTTTTAGTTATTAAAATGGCTCCCAGTCAAAACTCCTATCGACATAAACACCCCCCGGACATGAACCTCCTGGACAGCCCCTCCTCCCCCCCCCGCGACATAAACCCCCTGAATAATTAGCCCCCGACTGATGTTTATATAAGGAAATAATAACGATGATGTAAACCCAAAAAATATAATTTAATTTAATTAATGTAATTTTTAACGACCAAAAAAAGAGATTCTACATAAAAACATGCTATTAGAAAGTCAAGGAGTGACCGTGGTTGTATTTGATCAAAGATCGGGCACAGATAACACATTAGATATAGGTCATCCACATGTAGGAGCCATGCGAATCAAAGCAACACATTTTTAACAATACAAAAGATGTGAGAGATTCACCGACAGAAGCTTGGTACATATACCCCTTGGCATACAGGAGCATGGTTTAAATACGACATCAAATTTATTTCTCCACAAATCGTATAATTTCTTGAATGGAGTTTGTTCAATCTAATAAGGCAATTTAAAATTGATTTTTGAAGGCTAATTTTACGTCAAGCAACACGGTTTGGAGAAAGAAGTTGTTTAACTTGAGTGTGCGAAAAGACGAGACAATGCAGAAAGCGAAGTTAAGATAAAGATTCATGGTGAAGAGCTTGTTGAATGTTGTAATGAACATTCGCATGGACCAGATTCATCTCAACTAGAAGTGTGTAAAGTAGTGCAGCACATTGGCATGGATCAGATCCATCTCAAATAGAAGTGTGTAAAGTAGTGCAGCACATTGGCATGACCAGATCCATATAATTTAGAAGTGTGTAAAGTAGTGCAGCACATTGGCATGGATCAGATCCATATAATTTAGGAGTGTGTAAAGTAGTGCAGCACATTGGCATGATCAGATCCATCTCAACTAGAAGTGTGTAAAGTAGTGCAGCACATTGGCATGGATCAGATCCATCTCAACTAGAAGTGTGTAAAGTAGTGCAGCACATTGGCATGACCAGATCCATCTCAACTAGAAGTGTGTAAAGTAGTGCAGCACATTGGCATGGATCAGATCCATATAATTTAGAAGTGTGTAAAGTAGTGAAGCACATTGGCATGACCAGATCCATCTCAACTAGAAGTGTGTAAAGTAGTGCAGCACATTGGCATGGACTAGATCCATCTCAACTAGAAGTGTGTAAAGTAGTGCAGCACATTTGCATGACCAGATCCATCTCAACTAGAAGTGTGTAAAGTAGTGCAGCACATTGGCATGGACCAGATCCATCTCAACTAGAAGTGTGTAAAGTAGTGCAGCACATTTGCATGGACCAGATCCATCTCAACTAGAAGTGTGTAAAGTAGTGCAGCACATTGGCATGGATCAGATCCATATAATTTAGAAGTGTGTAAAGTAGTGCAGCACATTGGCATGGATCAGATCCATATAATTTAGAAGTGTGTAAAGTAGTGCAGCACATTGGCATGGATCAGATCCATCTCAACTAGAAGTGTGTAAAGTAGTGCAGCACATTGGCATGACCAGATCCATCTCAACTAGAAGTGTGTAAAGTAGTGCAGCACATTGGCATGGATCAGATCCATATAATTTAGAAGTGTGTAAAGTAGTGCAGCACATTGGCATGACCAGATCCATCTCAACTAGAAGTGTGTAAAGTAGTGCAGCACATTGGCATGGACCAGATCCATCTCAACTAGAAGTGTGTAAAGTAGTGCAGCACATTGGCATGACCAGATCCATCTCAACTAGAAGTGTGTAAAGTAGTGCAGCACATTGGCATGACCAGATCCATCTCAACTAGAAGTGTGTAAAGTAGTGCAGCACATTGGCATAACCAGATCCATCTCAACTAGAAGTGTGTAAAGTAGTGCAGCACATTGGCATGGACCAGATCCATCTCAACTAGAAGTGTGTAAAGTAGTGCAGCACATTGGCATGGATCAGATCCATATAATTTAGAAGTGTGTAAAGTAGTGCAGCACATTGGCATGACCAGATCCATCTCAACTAGAAGTGTGTAAAGTAGTGCAGCACATTGGCATGGATCAGATCCATATAATTTAGAAGTGTGTAAAGTAGTGCAGCACATTGGCATGGATCAGATCCACATAATTTAGAAGTGTGTAAACTAGTGCAGCACATTGGCATGACCAGATCCATCTCAACTAGAAGTGTGTAAAGTAGTGCAGCACATTGGCATGGACCAGATCCATCTCAACTAGAAGTGTGTAAAGTAGTGCAGCACATTGGCATGATCAGATCTATCTCAACTAGAAGTGTGTAAAGTAGTGCAGCACATTGGCATGGATCAGATCCATATAATTTAGAAGTGTGTAAAGTAGTGCAGCACATTGGCATGGACCAGATCCATCTCAACTAGAAGTGTGTAAAGTAGTGCAGCACATTGGCATGATCAGATCCATCTCAACTAGAAGTGTCTAAAGTAGTGCAGCACACTGGCATGGATCAGATCCATATAATTTAGAAGTGTGTAAAGTAGTGCAGCACATTGGCATGGATCAGATCCATATAATTTAGAAGTGTGTAAAGTAGTGCAGCACATTGGCATGATCAGATCTATCTCAACTAGAAGTGTGTAAAGTAGTGCAGCACATTGGCATGGATCAGATCCATATAATTTAGAAGTGTGTAAAGTAGTGCAGCACATTGGCATGGACCAGATCCATCTCAACTAGAAGTGTGTAAAGTAGTGCAGCACATTGGCATGATCAGATCCATCTCAACTAGAAGTGTGTAAAGTAGTGCAGCACATTGGCATGGATCAGATCCATTTAATTTAGAAGTGTGTAAAGTAGTGCAGCACTTTGGCATGGACCAGATCCATCTCAACTAGAAGTGTGTAAAGTAGTGCAGCACATTGGCATGGATCAGATCCATATAATTTAGAAGTGTGTAAAGTAGTGCAGCACATTGGCATGGATCAGATTCATATAATTTAGAAGTGTGTAAAGTAGTGCAGCACATTGGCATAACCAGATCCATCTCAACTAGAAGTGTGTAAAGTAGTGCAGCACATTGGCATGGACCAGATCCATCTCAACTAGAAGTGTGTAAAGTAGTGCAGCACATTGTCATGGATCAGATCCATATAATTTAGAAGTGTGTAAAGTAGTGCAGCACATTGGCATGGATCAGATCCATATAATTTAGAAGTGTGTCAAGTAGTGCAGCACATTGGCATGGATCAGATCCATATAATTTAGAAGTGTGTAAAGTAGTGCAGCACATTGGCATGACCAGATCCATCTCAACTAGAAGTGTGTAAAGTAGTGCAGCACATTGGCATGATCAGATCCATCTCAACTAGAAGTGTGTAAAGTAGTGCAGCACATTGGCATGGATCAGATCTATATAATTTAGAAGTGTGTAAAGTAGTGCAGCACATTGGCATGGATCAGATCCATATAATTTAGAAGTGTGTAAAGTAGTGCAGCACATTGGCATGGATCAGATCCATATAATTTAGAAGTGTGTAAAGTAGTGCAGCACATTGGCATGGATCAGATCCATATAATTTAGAAGTTTGTAAAGTAGTGCAGCACATTAGCATGGATCAGATTCATATAATTTAGAAGTGTGTAAAGTAGTGCAGCACATTGGCATGACCAGATTCATCTCAACTGGAATTGTGTAAATTAGTGCAGCACATTGGCATGGACCAGATCCATCTCAACTAGAAGTGTGTAAAGTAGTGCAGCACATTGGCATGGATCAGATCCATATAATTTAGAAGTGTGTAAAGTAGTGCAGCACATTGGGATGGATCAGATCCATATAATTTATAAGTGTGTAAAGTAGTGCAGCACATTGGCATGACCAGATACATCTCAACTAGAAGTGTGTAAAGTAGTGCAGCACATTGGCATGGACAAGATCCATCTCAACTAGAAGTGTGTAAAGTAGTGCAGCACATTGGCATGGATCAGACCCATATAATTTAGAAGTGTGTAAAGTAGTGCAGCACATTGGCATGACCAGATCCATCTCAACTAGAAGTGTGTAAAGTAGTGCAGCACATTGGCATGGATCAGATTCATATAATTTAGAAGTGTGTAAAGTAGTGCAGCACATTGGCATGGACCAGATCCATCTCAACTAGAAGTGTGTAAAGTAGTGCAGCACATTGGTATGGACCAGATCCATCTCAACTAGAATGGTGTAAAGTAGTGCAGCACATTGGCATGGACCAGATCCATCTCAACTAGAAGTGTGTAAAGTAGTGCAGCACATTGGCATGGATCAGATCTATATAATTTAGAAGTGTGTAAAGTAGTGCAGCACATTGGCATGGATCAGATCCATTTAATTTAGACGTGTGTAAAGTAGTGCAGCACTTTGGCATGGACCAGATCCATCTCAACTAGAAGTGTGTAAAGTAGTGCAGCACATTGTCATGGATCAGATCCATATAATTTAGAAGTGTGTAAAGTAGTGCAGCACATTGGCATGGATCAGATTCATATAATTTAGAAGTGTGTAAAGTAGTGCAGCACATTGGCATGACCAGATCCATCTCAACTAGAAGTGTGTAAAGTAGTGCAGCACATTGGCATGGATCAGATCCAGATAATTTAGAAGTGTGTAAAGTAGTGCAGCACATTGACATGACCAGATCCATCTCAACTAGAAGTGTGTAAAGTAGTGCAGCACATTGGCATGGATAAGATCCATATAATTTAGAAGTGTGTAAAGTAGTGCAGCACATTGGCATGGATCAGATCCATATAATTTTGAAGTGTGTAAAGTAGTGCAGCACATTGGCATGGATCAGATCCATATAATTTAGAAGTGTGTAAAGTAGTG